CTCAAACCTGGAGGAGTTCTGCTGTGTGGTGCAGTTGCTAATGCTAATGGTTAGCTTCTATCAGATAAAGGTTCTCTGTGGTTTCCTGGAAGTTAAACCAACAGCAGCCTTCCCATCACGAGTCAAGATGGGTGAGTCTCACCGTCTATTTCCTATCAGAAGATAATGCAGGAGATAGGCGGGCGAGTCTATTTTTATTTTCAGCTGGCATGAAAAACTCAGAATGACCGATTATTATCAGAAGTAATCAATAAATCAAAAATCATTCAATGCTTTTTAAGTGTTCCACAACTTTTAAAAAGTAATTTCACGCACGATGTGCGATATGCCAAAACTGAGATGTAACCAACGTAGTGTTTTTCTAAGGTCAGTTGACTATGCGGCCATCTTGAACTGGGTTGTCTCTAAAAGTTAATTGGTTGGGTTAGGGTTAAGAATTTTTTTTAGGTTTAATCAAAATCAGTCCACTAGGTCATGAGCTATTTTATTAACAGACACATAGATTAGGAAAATAATAACATTGACACTATTTGTTCTTATGTGAAAACGTTCCTTGTTCTAAATGAAAAAAGAACTGCCTATAGAAAATGATAATGCACTAAAATGACCCTGGTTATTGTGAAACCACTGTGATTTTTTTCATGCACAGTTATACTACACAATCCAAATCTGATCTCTACTCTAATTTACTCTAACTTTACTCTAAATTCAACAAAGACTAGTTTCAAATAATTTTATAACATTTCTGCTAAAGTTAACCAATATAATAATAAAAGTAGTAAAAATAATAATACATTCCCTTTGGAACAAGACACCTTCTTGTCCCGATTCACTCCTAATTATCAGATGTCAGAATAAAAGATTTGATGAAAAGAACTTATCTTCCTTTTTCCTTTCTAAATGGCTCAGATGAGGCTAAAGATACCACAGTGGACTGAAATACCAGAACCAGGAAGCCAGAAGATTAAATCATCTAATCATGATTTATACCAACACAGCTGTAAAAACACAAGACCTTCTGCACAAAACACTTCAGAGGGTAAATGAACATCTGGAGTTCGGTTTGTCTATCTGTGGAGACTTTTTAACACTTTTATCAATCCTCTGAAAATGAAATTGTGTTTAAACAACAAGAATTATGGGAAATTATTTTAATTCAAAGTAGGGCTGCACAATATATCGAAAAATTATCGTAATCGCGATAACAGGACGTGCGATAGGCCCATCGCAAAACACGGCAAAAACAGCGATAAATGTTTGGTTCAAATATTTCCATCCGTGTCATACATCAACTTTTTGTAAACCATCTCTGTTTTTTACGTGGAAGTATTATTTGACCAATCAAATGTAGTCCTTCTGATATGCGGCCAATCAGATGGTTCCGTTCACGTAATACGCCCGCCCCCTACATAGACCCTTTTGGAAAGCAACACCCGAACAGAGTTTGCGGCGCTGTTCCCTTGTTCGTTATGCTGGCTCAGAGCAACGAACGCACTTTGTGCTGAATTTTCTGGATTCAGCGCTGCTTTCAAACGTGAACATGACTCCGCTCGGTGTCGTTAATCATTTTTACCGGGCTGACTCCGACACGTGCCGGTGAACCAACCCACCTTCATGTCGCTAGTGTTCCTCCGGGTGGTGACGTTAGCCCCAGGCTCCGGTTAGCTTCCAGCTAAAAGGCTACAGCACTCTCCTCCCAGTCCCACCCTGCTAAAGAGGGCCTGGAAAAGTTCCCCCACACATCAAAGTGATTTTTCCTTTATGCGCTTTTATAACCTTGTTAATCAGGATAGTTGATTTGCTGCTGCACATAAACTGTCAGTCAGAAGCTCTGCTAGCCAGTTATCTTAAGAGGAACTAGTTCAATTTGTTAGCTTGTTATCAGAATCATAGTTGCAGTTTCATCATCTGAGCTGCTTTTTAAGATCTAGGTAAACTTGTTCAATTTGGGGTTAAAAACAAACGTTTTCACATATTTTCCATGTAGTTTTTTTGCCAGTTCCTCTTCTGAAAGGTAGACAATTGTTTTTCTCTTTCCCTCAAAAGATCTTAATTTTCTCCTAGTTTGGCCCAGCACAGATCACTTCCCAATTACAGCAACAGCCTTATATCATAACCACATAAGTGGAGAAAATGCTCAGTAGCAATGAGAGAATTTGCTGTTGCATTTAAGTGATGTTAACTGTTAATAAACATTTAAACTTATTTTCTGATTTTTTTAAATTTATTCAAAAAACCCTGGTAAGGGATGTCTTTCTGTATTTGGAGCATCAGAAAAAGTTTTATGGTGGAGGTGATGTTTTAAAGTCACTGAGAAACTGCATGCATGCAGTTTGTTGTTTTGCTGCTAATACAGTAGCAGGTGCAGCTGCTTATTTTAGCAATAAAAATGGTATGTTGTAATGGAATTCATGCATTAGTTTTTGCTTGCTTTGAGCCCAGAGCAGACGTCACACGCCAGACGACATCAACACTGCATACTTTAGTATTTGTTCATTCATCGTGAGTAATATCGATATCGCAATATTAAGCACTGTTATCGAATATCGCAGGTTTTCCTAATATCGTGCAGCCCTAATTCAAAGTCAAAAAGATAAACAAGCAGTGAAAAGATGATTTAATTTTAAGGTAGAGACGTGACATAGTGGAAAGTGCGGTAAAGTCCGCATATTTTTCCAGGAAGCAGATGTAAATGAATGTAATGTCCCTTGAAATTATGGAAACAAATGTGTGTGTGTGTGTGTGTGTGTGTGTGTGTGTGTGTGTGTGTGTGTGTGTGTGTGTGTGTGTGTGTGTGTGTGTGTGTGTGTGTGTGTTTAAGGATGACACAAAACACTTGAGCAGCACATGTTCTCATGCACCCACACTGATAAGAGTCAGTTAATTAAATCATGTCACATTGAGAAAACAGCTTCACGGGTCTGTAAACAATTTCTATTCAATTTGTCTAACATGAAGAAATGAGGCTGCACAGTGGTGCTGTGGTTAGCGCTGTTACCTTGCAGCAAGGGGGTTCTGCATTCACATCCCAGCCTGCGGTCTCCTTGCAAGGAGTTTGCATGTTCTGCCTGTGCATGCGTGGGTTCTCTCCGGGTACTCCGGCTTCCTCCCACAACCCAAAAATATGACTGTCGGGTTGATTGGTCGCTAAATTGTCCTTAGATGTGTGTGTGTGTGTGTGTGTGTGTGTGTGTGTGTGTGTGTGTGTGTGTGTGTGTGCTTGGTTTGTCTTAGTGTTGCCCTGTGATGTACTAGCAACCTGTCCAGGGTGTACCCCACCTGTTTGCCTGAAGACAGCAGGAGATTGGCACCAGCAACCCTGCGTGGATAAGCAGGTAAAGAAAATGGATGGATGGATATTGATCTCGTGCTCCAGCTTTCCCTCACTCATGAACAAGACCCCTGAGATACTTAAACTCCTCCACTTGGGGGCAGGACCTCATCCCTGACCCAGGGAAGGCATTCTAACCTTTTCCAAATCAAGAACATGGCCTCAGATTTAGAGGAGCTGATTCTCGTCCCAGCTGCTTCACACTCGGCTGCAAACCGCTCCAGCAAAAGCCGAAGATCACGTTCTGATGAAGCCAACAGGACCACATCATCTGCAAAAGGCAGAGACCTCAGGTCACCAAAACGGATGCCCTCCACACCTTGGCTGTTTCTAGAAGTCCTGTCCATAAAAGTTATGAACAGAATCGGTGACAAAGGGCAGCCTTGGCGGAGTCCAACTCTCACTGGGAAGATTTTTGCATTTTATATAATATTAGTAGATAAGCAGAGGACAGATTTTCTAGGAGAAGTAAATTTTTCTAGCCAGCTTAAACATAACTTCCTTATCCTTGTAGAAGAGGGGAAAAAGCTGTGACTGTTGGTGACTTTAGAGATGAACGAATTAATCACTGGCTTAGTCACACTTGTGTATTACCACACTGCTTAACCATTCTATGTAATTCATTACTAAGCATGTTTTTAATTATGTCTGTGTGCAGCTTTTATCCAACATTCACTCATTTCACCAAAGTAACATCAGGTTCCAGTGGGGACACTTGCATTTTTACTCTGCTGACGCAGTGACACACGGAGTATTGATGTCTTGGATTTTGATGAATGGACCGACTCCTTTCAGCTGATTAGTCTGAGTTCCTGCAGCTGCCTTCAGTGTCAGTCAACCAGCAGGAGACAATCCACCAATAAAAACAGCAGCTCTAACATCTGTCTATTGCCTCTTTTCTGCTATTTCGGCTCTTGTTTTACGTATTACACATTTTTAAATAATGTTTCTAAAAGATCAACTGAAGAGCTTCAAGATCAGAATGATATTCAACAGAAAAGGTCCAAATTAGTGATGTGTCATTCGCGAACGAAATGGCTCTTAGAGCCGGATCTTTGAAGTGACTGACCAGAGCCGGCTCTGTCTCGGAGGAGCCGAATCAGAGTTTTTTCTTCCTTTCTCCTTTTTCGCTCCCTTTCTTTACCTCCGCGTTTCTGCAGCGAGCAGGAGGAGGAGGAGCGGAAGACAGGTAGTGTAACCAGAAATGTATTCGTCTTTCTTTTTTATGAGAGGAGGATACAGCAAATATCGGTATTGGTTTATGTGATAATTGGAAATGAAGGTTCAGCAATATCAGTATATGCAGTATGTCCCTACCAGTCACACATTCGCTAATTAAACCTACAGTCATGGTTTTGGTCCATGGGAGGAATTTGTTCCTTGAAAAAAGTTGAGCTTGTCTCTGAACAATTAAAGCAGAAACAGCTGAAATCCGTACAAACCCAGTGAGGTTGTTAAGGTCTGCACATTTTTCGTTACTCGTACCTCAACACTGCTTCTGTTTTTGCATTAAGCTAATAAAATAATTTGATTTAACACAACAACACACAGAGAATAGTATGGTCTTCTAAACACACACACACACACACACACACACACACACACGCTAAAACAGCAGGAATATTTAGACACTTATCAGAGAAGCATGTCTGATTAGACAGTAACTTACAGAGATGTGGACCCCTGAACCGACAGGCTCCACTGAGGTGTTTTCTCCATCCATGACTAAACCTGGTGGAAACTCCTCCCACCTGTCCCCCAGCCCTGCATAAAGGAAGAAGAAGAAGAAGAAAAAAAAATCTTCTGAGAAAACAGCGACACAATCAATTTGTTATTTTTACTCAGTTAGCTGCAAGAAAGAAAAGGGTTTCAATAAACATTGTTCAGGAATTTTAAACTAATTTAAAGAAATGCTTCAAATAAAAGACTTCTTTCAGAACATGACTCTTTTAAGCTGACTCATGCATGCCTTCACATTCTACCGTTTGGGATGACCAAAAATGATGGCACATTTACTAAAAAGAAAAACATCTAAAAGTTCCCATGTAGAAGATTTCACGTGCGTCACTGCACAGCTGCTTTAAATCAAAAACAAACTAAAACATCCGTGCTTGTAAATTTTATCTATCGACGCAGATATGTCCTCATCTCAAGGATTCGTTGTCTCTCACTGTAACCACTGAAAGACGCCGGATGACTAGACCTCGTTTAAGAGTTAAATAAGATCGCTCGTTTTGAGTGTGTCAACATATTCAATGAAAATTCTGATTTATTAAAGCTCCTCTTTATATTTTCTGTCATTTTGATTAATTCAGACGAGGCTGAAAACATTTCTGTCCACAAACAACAAAAGTAAACAGAGCAAAATTCAAGAAAGCTTGTTTTGTGTTAGATTTATTTTTTGTTTGTTTATTTTTTTTTTAGGTGTTTACTGTGCTCCTTTTTGAGATGAGCGTTTCTCACCCACACTTCACATGCACTGTATGTGCACAAGCACGAGCCGGTAACTGAAAAATCCATCCCACACTCAGAAGTTGTTGGGTTGTATTGTTTTTTTATTTGTTCTTATTTTAACCCGTGAGCTGTGGTTTGACTAAAGATATTTGTTACAGTGTGACTGACGAAGCAGGTGAAAGCACTCATGCCTTTTACTTTAAAATCCTTTTTACACCCTCTTTTAATTTTTTTTATGTGTGGATCTCTCATTAAATCAATACATTTGCAGTGGCCTAGTAGGAATGAATGTCTTGTAAGTTCTACTGTGGGGAAACAAAGCTCCAGTGCACCATCTTTCAGGAACTAAAAGTGAGCCACATCAGAAGGCGTTTGTCAATATTTAAGGACGCTAGTACTTTCTTGTGTACTTGACAAGTATGTTTTTGGGAAGGCCACCAGAAAGTCCATTTGTCCACACATGACACATATTTGAACAGAACAGTACTCCGTTGCATCATGGTACCAAGCGCTGCTTGTTGCTACGACCTGACATTAAAAAAAAGGTCTACTTTGTTCCTTAAAAACTAAGTAACAATAAAAACATATTATTTGTATCATATTTGGTCTATTTTTTAATTAAAATTGATAAAATACCAGCAACAAAAGTTTCTTTCTCATCAAACAGAGCTATGCTGCTTTTATTTTGATAGTGGGTTAGCTAATTGGCATTTTGAGGGATTGTGAAGAGCAAAAGTAAGTAAGTAAGTATATTTTATTTATATAGCACTCATCACAGACATAGAATCACAAAGTGCTTCACATAGATCAAAACAAAATAAAACAAAGTCATAAAATCATAAATAGATTAACATCATAAAATCAAAATGATCTCAAAACAGAACCAGATTAACATCAGAAAAAGAAAGTCATAAAAATATAAAATTTCATTGACGGATGAAAGATTAAAATTTTGATTTGAAAATAAGAAAATAAAAGATTTAGGTAAAAGCAGCTTTAAATAAAAGGGTTTTTAGCTGTTAATAAATAACACACACGGAAAATTTTACAGGTTACACACAATTATTTACAATTATAGACAACTTTATATTTCTCTATTTGTATTTCTAATATAAAACACTACAGTTATGAACTTTTCCCTCTGACGTTCGGAGTATAATGGTTTGCGATGCAATGCATTGTGGGATACTTTGCTCTCCCAAGTCCACAGAAGGATGGACTGATGCATCCCAATGGGCGGAGCAAGAACATATCCGGGAACTTTGAGTGAACTTTCCATGATACATACTTAGGATTGGAACAGTACTTGGGCCATCGCTGATGACGTTTCACAATGACGCGAGTACACAAGTTCAGACAAACACACATATTGAGAAACGACCCAGAGTTTAGCTTCAGACAGCATGATTTGGAATCTTATTTCCTGATTTTTGGTCATCTGGCCTCTGATTAGATAACAGAAACATGACTCTACCACTGACTTGTTTGCTTTGCAACATTTGTGTTTTATCGCCACAAATAATACAATCCTGGAGGCGTTCTGCTGTGTGTTGGAGTGCTAATGCTAAAAGTTAGCTTCTAATAGTTGAGACGCTAAACCAACAACAACCTTCCTCGTCGCAAGTCAAGATGGGTGAGTCCATGAATGCTAGGTGGCAGTGTGACGTAGATCTGCCGGGATGTTCTAATCCTAGAGTTTCACCGTCTGTTTTCTAGCAGAAGCTAATGCAGGAGACAGGTGTAGGAGACTATTTTCATGTTCAGCCTGCATGAAAAACTCAAGAGTGACCGATTATAATCAGAAATAATCATTAAAAATGGGGTTTTCGTGTTCCACACCTTTAATGTTTCTTTCTTCATTAATTACAAATGTACGGAAAGTAGACCTGATACCAAACAACAATTAACAATGGGAAATCTATGAATAAAATGTATTGGCTGCATAGAAATAAACATCACCTGCTTCTTAAATGATTTTCTGCTGACATAAAATACGTTTTTTTCCCTAAGAGAAAGTCCCAACCTTAATTCTATGAAAAGCTTTTTCTAAAATGCAACAATAGAAGGTCTGGGACATTTGTGAAACCCAAATCACAGCTGCTGCTGAGTTCAGGTGAAACGAGGGTGATTTATCTCCCAGAGCTGAAGGACTCGTGACTCATGATGACTGTAAGGAAACAGAAAGAAATGATCTGGGCATTTTAACAGCAGAGCCGCTACAATACACACCAACAGCATGTCTAGCTTAACATTAAATTCACTTTTGAATGAAATAACAATTACGAATAAGGTCTGGTATGCAGTGAACACTTTCTTTTAGCCATTTCTGGGGTCTAAAACACATGAGAAAAACAATTAACCCGAATCAACCCGAATATGAAACAATGAACAACAGAATGATCAAACCGTATCTGATTCAACAATCTGTTTTTCATCTTCCTTGTTATGTAACACGAGTCGCTTCACCGATACCAATCTGCTATGCTGCAGCTTCATCAAAGTCTCTCCACTGACCTTTCGCAAGCAAATTTTATATGAGCAGGACAGCCAAACATCTGCCCGGTAAAACCTGTTTTTATGCGCTTTTAATACGTGAAAAGAAGGACGTCAAACGGTGATGGAGAGAAAAGGAAAATAAATGTCTAAACTCCATCGGCAGGTGAAGGTTAAAGGTCACAGCAGTGACTTTAATGTTGCATTCAGGTGAAAGCAACCAAAGCTGCTCTCAAATGCAATAAAGCACAAATGGAATTGAATAATTTGAGAGAATTATGTAAATTTTTATTATTTGGCTCAGGGATACTGGGAGAAAAGACTAACAAACACAAACATGACATGGGCTGTTTAGTTTTATATTTGAATAAAAAAGTGAGGGTTTTGTTTAACATAAATATAATTCAACTGTTCCGTTCTAAAAATAGAAACGGGGGATTTTTAGATGCTGCAGTCTAAAAATCTACAAGTAATGCAAATTGATCCCACTCAACACATCTTTGTGATCAACACACTCCACTTATGTGCTCATTTTGGAATACAGGTCATGACTTTTTATAAATAAATAATGTAACAATTGCTTGCCAACCCACTGTTGCACCCTCATTTATAAAACTGATTGTCTAAAGTAGACTTCTGCTGTTAGACCGTCAGCATCGAGCTCATTTTAAACAGGAAGTCAGATCAATTCTAAAACTGATGCTTAAAAATAAAAATCATTAAGATCTTTTTAACTGAACACCTAAATCATAACAGACAAGTTTTAAAAAGATGTTTGCAACAAATGACCCGTTTTAAGGGTCGCCCCCTGCTGGTCATTAGATGAAATGGCTGTCTGTTTTTAACTGGACTGAGTTCTTAGAGGACACTGTGTACAACCATTCTTTTTATTTATTAAATTATTCAGAAACAGTTTTCAAGCTTTCAGAAAGTTTTACAGAAGTCTTTTTGTTTGTTTGGTTGTTTTTTTTGATGGATTTTGTCCTCTGACTTATTCTATTTTCTGTTCAATCCTTCTACCTGACCCTTTTTTCTTTGTTTGTTGTTGTTTTTTTACAGCAAGTAAAAACCAAGTCATTCCAACATATGAATCAGGGGGAAAAAGGCTCCTCAACTTCAAGCATATTTTTCTGCCTACACACAAATGCAGCAACAGATAAAAATAAAAAAAACTTTTGAAGATCACCAACAGTATTCACTTAATTCTTCTACATTAAATGAATCTATTAAAGATATTAGTTTCATAACCAAATTAGAGTTTTAATCCAACAAGAGTATCACACAGTAGACGGATCAAATTGATAATTTAAAGGCCCTTTTTCTAATGAAACTCCATTAGTATAGTATATAGCCCAATGATTTAAATGCACACTGTTTCACTTTCAGAGTTTCAAATAACAGAATGTTGTTTTAAATCATCTGGCCATTCTCTGGTCCTAAAATGAGGAAAATGCTGTTTCAGATGAACAATAACTAATCGTATTACGCCATGTATCACACGTAAAAATGCAAAAGCTTGTGTTTGCAACGCTGACTTCCAGACTAACATCCTTTAGGCTGATAAGTTAAATAACAAAACAGAGCATGTTCTCCCAAAAACATACCAACTGTAGAGCATGGTAGCGGAGGGCTGATGATTTCAGCTGCTTTTCAGCTACCTTGCTGTTTTGAAGTCCACAATGAACTTTTCTGTAAACTAAAGCAGATAAATCTCAGTCCACTCGTATACTGGGTTCAATTTGGCGTAAAAAATCAAGTCATACAACAAAAAAGTAGAAAAACACAGCAGGAAATCTATATTCTGCCTGAAAACAATA